TAATCACTTGTCTCCTCAGATCATAGATGATTAGTTTAGTTATTTTGTTATACACGTTACAAATGCATCTAGTGTTTGTATCCATTTGTCACGCAGACGTGAAGCTTACCAGTGGGGAGTTTTTACTGTTCTTTCTTATGGAATGTGGAGATCTGCCTGGTGGTTCTTCAGCAAAATTCAGACTCATTACTTCAGGTTCTCTTAAATAAACCAAAACAAAATATAGTTTATTACACTGTACCATTCTGCAGTTATTGTCTTGAATTAAGAAACTGACAAATAAATAATTAAAAATGATACAAACTTCAATAAATAAAAAGGGCGAGCCATTAGAAAAAAGAAAATATTAAATATAAAAAAAATATTAAATTTGTCTCATATATTAATACAACAGAAATCAGATCAAACCTGAAAACAGGTCTATATTACAAGCGGTACTTAATCTAAAGTAGACCCATCTCCATCTGTGTGGAGCCTGCATGCTCCCCATGTGTCTGTGAGGGCTTCCTCCCACAGTCAAAGGCATACATGATGTGAGGCAGAGTGCTTTAAGTATATAAATATATAATATATATTAAAGATATTTGAATTATATCTAAATGTAAGATTAAAATGCGACATGATTCTTTTGGATTGCCCAAAACAATTCCATTCATGAGCTGAATAAATCCTGATTAAGGTATACCAACCTCATAAGGATAGCATCAAATCTTTTAAACAGATAAAAGATGAGCTTAACATCAGCAATACAGACTTCTGCTGCTATTTAAAATTAAGAAATGTCTTAATGTGACATGAGGAGTGGGAAAAAGTTACAGAGGAAATGGGGCGAGTAATTTATAACTGCAAATACTACATTACAAGTAAAAAGGAAATCTGCAACAGAGCACACAGGTTAACAAGCTCAAACTCTTGGAGAGAATTCAAATGGAACGGCCCACGCCACTAATACATGCTGGAGAAAATGTGGTACACATACTGGGACTTGCATACATATATTCTGGCCATGTGCAGAGTTAGATAGATATTGGAAGAATGTTTTCTGTGCGCTTCAGAAGATTTCTTACCAAAATTTGGCTAAAGAATATTATTGGTGGCAGCAATTACATGCATTACAATTAGACGGCTGAAGCCCGACACTCCAACTTATCACGTGTGGTTGGATAGACTTTGGGAAATCTGACTAATGGAGCAAATCTCATACTACCTAAGGCTTCAGAAACACTTATTTATTAGGAGATGGAGACTTAATTTTATATTTTTTCAACAATGAAGAGAGAGAAACACATTAGCGGGCTAGAAGGGGGCATGCAATTTTAAATTTAAATATGGTTATGTTTGTTTCCTTTTCTTCATTAAATCAAGTCAGTTACAGAACTATAAACGTAATCACCTTTTTTTTTTTTTACCATGGACCGAACTTCAAAACCAAACAGGTGTTCTGTAATTTCACCCTAACCAGTCGCAGCAGATAGCCACCCCTCCCTGAACCAGGTTCTACTGGAGGTTTCTTCGTGTTAAATGGAGTTTTTTCTTCCCACTGTCACCAAATGCTTGCACTATATTAAATTTGTTTTTAATGAACTCTTAATTAAATTCTCTTTATAACATCTATGAGCATTTTCTCATTCAATTGGTCGAATGACCCTTGCAAAAACAAACTACCAACAATCATGTATGTATTCTTTCTGTAGTGTAAGTTTTTGTTCCTGTGTATTTTTTCCCCACTAATTTTTCTTGTATATCTGCAAAGGGGTTTTTTTTTTTTAGAGAGCAAGAAAAATATAGAATCACACATTTTTATAACCTTCAATAACATTATACAACCACTCCAAATACAGTCCAGTGATAACATTAGATTCAGCCTTCCAGTCAAGTTAATCTGTCCAGTCTGATAATAGAGCAGAAAAACAGCCTAAGGCAAACAACTTATTATTTCACTCTTTCATAGATGTCACAAAGAGATATTTCTGGGTCACAACACAGAG